ACCTTTTATTATTTCAGTCTCTCCCAACCCTATATCGTTAGGGTGAATCAAAGTGAAAACCCACTTACCGATTCACCATAACAATATATTAATAAATTTTTTATAAATATATATAAATATTTAAAACTAGAAATATATTAATTAATCTTTTTAGATTTTCTAATATAATTAAAGTTTTTACTTATAATAATATATCTAGTTATATAATCTTTATATCTAATATTCTTGTAATTAAAAGAATAAACTTAGAATTAAAAGAAAAATAATCAAAAATGAGATATATTAACTATAAAATTTATATGTAGTATTATATTATTATTATTTATTATATTATTATTATTATTAAAATTTATTATTAATTCTTTAATTATATAGATAATATTCATTATATTATTATTATTAAAATTTGTTATTAGTTCTTTAACTATATAGATAATATAACTTATTAAATTATACTATTTTTTTAGATCTATAACTTTTGAAAATGAAATTTTATAAGCTATAATTTTTTCTTTAAATTATTTAGATATTTTATTTTGAGAAGAACCAAAAGAATTATACATTGTATTATCTGAATATGGGTTATAAAGAATAGATCTTTATTTAAAATGCAAAAATAAATGTAAATCAGAAGTTATAAATTATTATGCAATTATGATTATAGCTAATGAATTTAATTTTATAAAATAAAGATTCTAGCTAGAAGAAGTAATTATTATAAAATTATGTTTTATTTTATTATAAACTTAATTATATAAAGAATTTTTGATGTGCTATAAAAAAATAAACAACATGCAAATTGTAATTATACTTGAAAGAGATACAAGAAACTGTTTTAAAAGAATTAAATTCAGTATTATTATCAACTATCTGATATTTTGTTAAAAAAAGCTTTTCATTACATGAATATATCACAAGAGTTTAACAGAAAAAGTTACTGAATATACAGTAAAAAAAGTATCAATCACACAGAAGAGTGCCAGATATTACAACTCTTAATAACTAACTTTATTAATAATTTAATTAGTCAATTTTGTTTCACGTGAGTGACATATTAGCTAATCACGTGATATATCAAAAATAATTTTAAGTTTGTTTATTTTTTTCAAATCCAAAGGGAATAGGTGTTGCAACACTACACAAAAAGGATGACAGCTAAAAATGCAAGAAAGCGATGTATTGAATTCATTATTTTTCTTCATTTGAGTGTGATGAATAAAATTTTGTGTCAACGAAATTGAATTTAAGATTTATAGTACTGTATTAATTTTCTTTGTTCGCTTCGAAATAATTAATGAATCGGTCCATATGTGAAGACACAAATTTAATTAACTAGAAACCTATTACATTACATAATTTTGATCGATGCTACTTTCGTGTTCTATTTTATGATCAATCCGATTTTAGACGCGCATTATCTGAGAAACTAGCTATAGCAATAACGACAAGCACAATTAAAAAGGTCAATTTTCTATTAATATGATTAATATAGAATGGTATAGACACGTTAGTGGCGTTTACTGTTACAAAAAATATAATTAAATTTTGTGTACTTCATATATGTAGGATAAAAAATTATCAAAATAATTTTTGCGCGATTCAAAAATACATTTTGAAAGTTGCTCTTTTATAACTGTCCAAAAAGCCAAATGTTTGGCATATTTGTTTACATGTTTTATTTGTTGAAATACTCTCTTCAGAGTTAATTTCGGGTGAGACAGCATTTTATTGTTTGGACAAACAGCAATTCACTTCCGCAGGTGGTGTATTCTTTTAACGATGCATGCACGCACAGAATTAACAGTCCTGATAACTTTCCGAAAAATCGTGTGAAATTTCCGTGATAAACTTATATCGGGCATTTATAATGCAACACCTTGATGTTCAATACATGTATATTGCCATTTGAATTGTCTTATCAAATGCTAGCGCTAGTATATTCGCTCGAATTGGGTCAGCGATTCATTTTTGTGGATCATTAGAATTGAATCCAGTGATCGAACAAAGAATCGGTGATCGATTATATTTGAGGTGTGGTAGTTTTGGTGAACATCCAATGCCTAATCTAGAAGTTTTACCAAAAAGGCATAGATGATCAGTATTTGTTTGCGTGGAAAATTTCACGGAAAGTTTTCAAGGGTCTGTATATCGGATACTAAACATACAGTAGATTTGCATAACTTGGTGTGTACTTTTTTTTCCAGTTTCTAATATAAAATTTCTTAGAGTTCACGTTAATTTTTCGCAAACGTTCTCTTATTCACTGTCGTCTCAATTCCTATGTAAATTTAAGCGATAATGACGATATGTTTTTTGGTGTTGATTTTCGGGATTACAAATGTACATGTATATGTAAAATTCACTCTTTAAAAGGTTATGAGAACTCATGTCATTTATTCATGATAGGATTTTCTATGATGTAAATAAAACCCCTTAATGTGCTTGTAACGGTAACCTTCATAAAGAATGCACGAATTTTTAATCATCCCGCAAATCCATAATAAAGTTTGTATGGTTGGCGTAAAATACACTTGTATAACTTGTCTAAATAAGAAAAAAATCATTGTTGTAAATTCTGCATGTTATTTTTAACATACATATATTCAACAAATTTACTCATAAATAGAAACGTTTGTCCTCTTCTAAATCCTTTTATTCACTTCGAATTAACAAAAAATTTCGAAAATCAACACGAATAAATAAATAAAAAAGATTGAAAATGACTACGTTAAAAAAATTTGTTGCGATCGCTTTGATCCTGGCAATATGTCTTTTCGCTTTGCCTGACGCTATTCCTCTCGATTATTCACAGGGCGACCAATCCTACACAGTTGGAAAAGACGGCGTTGGTTATCAATCGCCCAACCAATCCATCGCCATTGGCGGCCCCGCTACCGGTGGCAATGGTGGTAACGGTGGTAATGGTGGTAGCGGTGGTAACGGTGGTAACGGTGGTGGTGGTGGTAACGCAAATGGAGGAAACGCCAACGCTAAAACTGGAGATAATGGCCAAGCCATCGCCATTGGCGGCCCCGCTGCCGGTGGTAATGGTGGTAACGGTGGTAACGGTGGTATCGATGGTAACGGTGGTGGCGGTGGTAATGGTGGTAACGCAAAGGGAGGAAGCGCCAACGCCAGTGCTGGAAATAACGGCCAAGCCATCGCCATTGGCGGCCCCGCTGCCGGTGGCAATGGTGGTAACGGTGGTAACGGTGGTATCGATGGTAACGGTGGTAAAGGTGGTAACGGTGGTCTCGCAATCGGAGGAAACGCAAACGCTAAAACCGGAAGTAACGGTCAATCTATCGCCCTTGGCGGCCCCGCTACCGGCGGTAATGCTGGTAACGGTGGTAATGGTGGTGTCCCTTGAACATTTGCAACTTTTTACTCAATGAACACATGAACAGTAACAAAAAATACTGGAATTAAAAAATTGGCCACTGCCTCATAATACATGTAATCGCATTTTTTTAGTTCACAAACTTTTGATTGCCACTTTTTTATTATATTTTATAACTTTAATTTGCAAAGTAATTTCAGGTGGTAAAAATTTTTTGTATTTTTAAAAATTACGTGCATCTTTATTTGCAAATGTAATCAGATTCTGTGTTATTTTTGTTTAAAGCAAATAAATGTGGTTTATAATAAAGTTCTCGAAAAACAGAAAGTAGTTATGACTTTAAAGGATGTCAAAATGTAATTGAAACTCAAGTTTAATTTAATTAGACTTTGTTTAAGCAAATTATGAACACTTTTGCCATTTAAAAAATTTTCCAGTTTTTTTTTTACATATAAAAATTTGTCGGTTTATGTCTGTGAGTCTTTACATTTGTGAAATTTGCTGTTTATCAATGCCGATAAATTTTCTACATGGAGAATTTTAGTTATTGCAATATACATGTATGTTCATGTACATGTTCGGATACATCAATAATAGGTAACACATGTACTAAGTACATGTACAGTACATGTACATTTATTACCGTTACTATTATTTCCTGCATGATTTCCGGAAAGAATCAAGAAAAATTCCCTGAGCAGCATTTTCATCTCGGTCCATTACAGCCCACAACTTCGGCACTTGTACATCTCAGATCCTTCTAGTTTTGAACACTCCCAAACTAGCTGCAAGTTTTTGAAGTATAGGTCTCATTTTGGACCCCTAATTCTTCAGCTTTGGCTATCAGATGTTGGTGAAATTGATAGTGAGCCCAACAGAGCATTTTACAAACAGTTTTTCGTGTTATATTTCTTGTTTTTTATTTACCATATCTGATATCCCAAAATGAGGAATGATAATGACATCAAAGTCACGAGTAAAAAATACAACATTCTTTTTATGAATTTCACTTTGCAGATGTTTAATTTTTCGTATCATCCAAGAAATTGCATTATCAAGTTGCAAGGCCTTTTTATTTTTACATTTTGAATTAGAGGCAGCCAGCTTGTCCCTTATAGAATGAAGATTATCCATATATTT